TTAGTACCCTGAGACTTAGGGTGGGACCGGGATACATACCAATATAAAGCAAAAGCAAGGAATTTGCGAAATTAGAACTAATCGGTATCTAAGAAAATCACATAAAACCACTGATCTGGTAGCAGATGTTTAGGAGAGTAAGGTTGAATGTGATTAGAGTGGAAATAACAAGGTTGGCTAAGAAAATGTTTGCAAGCCAGAAGGTAGAAGAAAAGTGAAAAGGCCCACCCACCCTGAGAAGGTTGGAAGACGGAGAAAATGATTTACGAGACCTAAAAGTGAAGCGATGGAGGCAAAAGGCAAATAACGCTATAAAGATAAAGGATACCAAGATTCTTAAGGACGTAGAAGCAAGGGTGAATAAGGACGCGCCATAGCTCAAGCGGTTAGTCGCTGGCTTCCCACCGCGGCGGCCCGGGCAAATGGGATTTGTGGTGGACAAAGTGACGCTGGGGCGAGTTTTCTCCAAGTACTTCGGTTTCCCCTGCCAATCTTCATTTCACCAAATTCTCCATCATCATAATCACCCGGAGCAGACTACAATAGGCCAATCAGTGGCCGCCGTGCCGAGTGGACCCAGTTGGACTCCACCCCCCCCCACACTAAGTGAAAAAAAATGGCTGAATAAACAAGGTACATAAAAATGTTGATACGATAGTGTCTACTTTGTTTTAAATACAGAATATTGTTGTATAGACTGCATACATTTGTAGACATTTTATGTACCTTGTTTATAACACACAACAGGATGCATACTATTAAGAAGCACTGAGTAAGCATATTTTAAATTTTAGGTTTCTGGACACGAGACATGAACGTAAAGGATTCACAATTCAATGATAGGAAGTATTTTCATGAATATAATTTTTGTCACTATAATCCAAAATATCTGGTATTCTGCAATGCAAATGTAATATATTCGGTACTCAGTTCTGCTCATTGAAATAAACAATTCATATAAAAGCCCTTAAAGCATATTTTTTGGAAAGAATATGTTAAGGCTTTCATCAGGTCAGAAGCGTGAGATAAAAAAAACAATCAACTGTTTTGCAGCCAACAGTTGAATAAAACTCCCAGAAGCTTCGGTCGTGTTGGAAACCACTGATGACTGTCCCTATATTAAGATGTTCTATATTTAACGGGATGCCAGTTTGTTGGCATACAGACGAAATTTCAGTAGCAGCTGTTGAATATGCATATTAATGCAGCGTGGGGGCCGACAAAACGAAAGGGCCCCGTTAATGTCGAGATTCGATTAAAATATCAACGTTCAGATACTTTGCAAATACAACAGAAAATTAAAAACAGATTAATTTTGATTTCTCGCTCCGAGGGAATAACATAATATTGAGGGTGCGTGTGGAAAAAAAAAAGCGCTGAGAATGAAAAAGATTAAACATGGAGATATATAAGTTGTACTGTTCACATGATATTGCAAGCACGATTATACCAAGGTACAAGTATGTGTGATTAGTAGGACATGCGGAACGCATGGGAGGCAAGTAAAATGATAATAAAATTTTGCTCGAGAAACTTTACCTATGTGCAGATCGAATACTGAAATTGAACTTCAAGAAATAAGGTATGTATATGTGGCCTGGAATCAAAGGACTAAGAACAGAGTCGAATGGGGGACTTTCGAGAGCACTGCGATGACCATTCCGGTTCCTCGAAGCAAGAAATTTCTAACAGCTAAGCAACTTTTCAGACAAGCAGTTAATATCAAGAAGCTCTTTCTTGTTACAGGTAAAGTAAAAAGTAAAGCTATCCCTGTACCAGGGTGTGAAGGCCCATAGGGTTGGGAGACGTTGAGGGTCCCACATTATCTAGACAATCGGCTCAAAGATGGCGGTAAGGTTGTCAGCCTTACGCGCCGGCCGCGCTTTACACCCCAGGGAAACGATTTAATTAATTCCTGGTGCTCATTTCTGTTAGAGGCTGAGTAGACCCCAGGGCCATAGTGCGGCTAGAAGGATTAGGTCAACTGAAAAAAATTCAATGACCTCATCGGGATTTGAACCCGAGACCTTCCGGCTTGTAGCATAGTGCCTTAACCACTACTCTACCACTGCCTCCAAGACAACTCTTCGGCTAGGACCACACAGAAAACACAGCCCCTCTATTGTTGGAGGCGTGTTCACAGCACCGTTGCATAACAATGGTCGCGACGCGGAAACGTGTTTACCGAGCCGTTACTCAGAAACGTTCAGCAACAATATGTACGGAGATGTACCTCCACTGTCCAACTGGTCTCTCTGTCGAGGTGCTTAAATAAGCATGAGCACAACTTTACACCGTAAAGTCCGTACTCCTTGCTAATGTATTACAGTACAGACTGCACCTTAGTTACACCGTTACAAACACCACTGTTGACGCGCACTATCAATGCTTATTCGACGTACGTGTATTCACAAGATGAGCACAGACTCGTTATCATGACTAGGACTGCCTAATGAGATGAGTTATTTGATTACAAAGGAAGTATGAATTGTGACCTTACTGAAATATGCCTCACTGGTGGTTAAGTCGATAATCATGTCTCCTTGTTTGTATGTCGTGGCTAGTATGTTTTACGTGATACATGACTACCGGAACACTGGAACCAAAGATGATGTCCACTGCTAGGCAAAGGTTCGGTAAACACATTCCCCTGGCTGCGGATATGAAAGCATCCATGTAGGAACTGTTGGAAACAGTGTTTTCTATTTGGTCCGTGTCGAAGTTATATATGGTGCAAATATGGGGCTCGGCTACCAAGCAACGTACAGTGAAGACAAAGACTGTGACGACTTGGGGTAAGCTTTAGTTACCTGCAGAGTCCGCAGAACAGTGAAAGTGCTATAACTATTTGTAGTTACGAGTAATAAACCTCCAATAAATTAAATAAACAATCCAAGCCGTGTCTAGTCACTAACATGCGACAATAACGCCATAAATTTAACCTGTTAATAGTCATTTCAAGTCTTGCAAGTTACAAATAATAGTTTGGTGTACAAGAATAGCGATAAGAGGCATTATCAAAACAAGCGTAACCTTCAACGCACGAGGGATAATTCAACAGCACTTTTAAACTTGTCAAAAAATATATATACGTGGTGCGTTCAAGTTCTAAGGTCTCCGATTTTTTTCTCACATAATAATCATACAAAAAATTTGAAACTTCTGTCACTTTTCAACGTAATCTCCCCGCAGCCGTACACATTTTTTACAACTTCGACGCCACGATTCCATGGCTGCTGCGAACACTTCTGTAGGAGTCTGTTTTGACCACTGGAAAATCGCTGATGCAATAGCGGCATGATTGGCGAATGTACGACCACAGAGAGTGTCTTTCATCGTTGGGAAAAGATAAAAATCGCTAGAAGCCAGGTCAGGTGAGTAGGAAGCATGAGAAACCACTTCAAGGTTGTTTTCACGAAGAAACTGCTGCGTCGCATATTTCCGATGTGCTGGTGCATTGTCCTGGTGAAAGAGCACACGTGCAGCCTTTTCCGGCCGTTTTTCTCGCAGTGCTGGAAGGAGCTTGTTCTTCAAAACATCTTGGTAGGATGCACCTCTCACCGTAGTGCCCTTTGGAATGCAATGAGTAAGGATTACGCCATTGCTGTCCCAAAACATGGCCACCATCATTTTTTCAGCACTGGTGCTTACCCGAAATTTTTTGGTGGCGGTGAGTCTGTGTGCTTCCATTGAGATGACTGGCGCTTCGTTTTAGGATTGAAAAACGGTATCCATGTCTCATCCACTGTCACAATTGATGAAAATAAAGTCCCATTCAAGCCTTCATCACGTGTCAACATCGCCTGGCAAATTGCCATGCGCGCAGCCTTGTGGTCGTCCGCCAGCATTCGTGGCACCCACCTGGAGGACACTTTCCCCATTCGCAGGTCTTCATGCAGGATTGTGTGCACAGATCCCACGGAAATGCCAACTTTGGAGGCGATGTTTTCCACATTCAGTCGCCGATCCTCCAAAACAACTTTCTCAACTCGCTCGACCATGTCAGACCGGCTGGTGCGAGACTGAGATTGTTTTGGTTCGTTGTCACAGGACGTTCAGCCTTCTTTGAACTGTCGCACCCACGAACGCACATTTTTCACATTCATGACACCATCACCACATGTCTCGCTCAACTGGCGATGAATTTCAATGGGTGTCGCACCACGCAAGTGGAGAAAACGAATGATTACTCGCTGTTCTTGTAATGAAAACGTCGCCAATTTAGGTTTCAAAAACACTCCTCACTCTTGCCACCACCAATAGAGTTCTGTGTGTCATACAGTGCTGTCATCTCTGTCACGCATTCACAAAGAGTGCACACGTATTTTAAACTAAACCGCATGTGTCTATCTGCTCCCAGTCATGGGGAAAAAATCGGAGACCTTAGAACTTGAACGCCCCTCGTATATGAATAGCTTATGTACTAATCCATTACCTGCCATTCTTTTCTACATCTGTCGAATGCAAATATATAAATAATAAAAGTAAAAAGAAAGATCTATAGTGATTTATTAAAACTTAATCAGCGTTGATGATCACCGATTTCATTCACGAATGGTACTAACCGTGCTAGAAGAATATTGCATAACATTTTATATTACTACAGTCGATTTTGCCCAAAGGTTCTATAAGCTGGTGCCATCCTTTACTGTAGCAATTATTCCAAATCAAGACTATAAATTTACGGCGTCCTCGTCCGCCTAGAGTAGTAGTGCAGTTAGAACTGAACTAATAGCAATTCAACCTTTTAATGACAATTCTAACTTTATTAAAATTTTGTTCTGAGGTCATCGTTTCTACAGAACGTAATTCAACCCCTCTAAAATTCTACAGATGAACGTTCATTTCTCGATTAGCTGGCCATGCATTAACTTCTGAAGATGGGCTCTACTTCATGCGAGTAGTTCATGGCACCGTTTTCTACCTGTTAACGATACGTTAACGCAAGTTCTTAACAACTGACTCAAATTTATTAGCAACATCCAGACACACCATACACACTGAAACCATTAAAAACGTAACTAAATTTTTTATCTGAAAAGAATTCATGTGTATACAAAAATGTTTGTTATTTTTTATTGAGAAAAATAATTGTAAATGCAAAAAAAGGCCCAGGCATTGCCCATCCAGCCCTGTGTAGCACTTGCTCTTTAATAGTACTGGTTGCGCCATCGCCACGATCATACCAGTTAACTTCATTGACCTAGTTCATATGTTCGACGATAGATGGCAGAAACATATTTAGGACATTTTTTTTCGCAGAAGTTCGAGCGGATGTTATTAAGATGGCGTCTGAAATGGAGACTTCAGAAAATATGACACAAAGCAGAACAACAAACTTTTGGCCAAGATCAGAAAGAAAGTTACAGAAGAAGTTACGAAATACTGGGCAGGAGTATGTTTCAAGATCTGGGAAAGTAATTCCTGCCAAGAAACAACCAGGTGAGTATAACTAAAAACTTACAGAAAATCGAAGTTTCATGTAGGTCCTAATTATGACCCGAAAGGAACATACCATAAGCACAGCGGTCATTGTCGATAACCTATATACAATCCCACCTGTTATTAAGATTTTCCTTAACGGTTATTAGCATTATAGACATTTATTTTATAGAAAGCAATCAGAAAAATTTGTCTTATATCCTCAAAAATAGGTTACATCAACACAGGTGAAAGATATATGACAGAGTAACTGAATTCATTTTCCTGATTCAGACGTGTTGTGTCAATGCCCCCAACGATGTGGAGAAAAAGTACCCAAGGAAGTTCGTCGAAAGCTATTTGCAGAGTTTTACAAATTAGGCGACCATGCACTACAGAATGAGTTCCTTATGGCACACATAGAGACGAGAGCTGTGCAGCGAAGATCTTCAGATCATAAAGTTCCAGGAAGGAATCAGAGGAGAGTAAGCTGTAAATACCACATCCCACTTTTAACTGCGGCAGGGCCACAAGCAGACTCAGGTAATCAAATGATGATTGACAGTATGAAGCAGATGCATAACAAATTAAATGTATCTTCCTGCAAAAAAAATGATGACACAGTATAGAAGAGATTGTTGGAGACTGTTATGTCAGCTATATTAAAATAATGAGGATGCTGGGAATACCTAGAAAGAAATTTTCAGCTTCATGTTCATGTCCCTTAATTAAAATTACTGTAATTTTCTAAATAAGGTAATGTTCTTAATTTTCAGACAATACTGAATGTAAATAAGAAAACATAATTCCATATAAGAACTGATGCAGGTTGGGGTGTTTCAGTTGGTTTCCTGTTTAAGCATAATTAGATCTTCCAAGTGGAAGGATTGTTCTTTTTTTATTACCTACACTGGAAATATACTTTATGTCACAACAGTTGTAAAGAGGTAATTCCTGAACATTGCTAGGGCTGCATTTAAAAGAAGTGTTTACTTCACAACAAGTTTAATAACTAAATCTGGCTATAAAAGAATTTATGATGAACATATCTCTCAAAACCTCAAATATTTGAAATTATATTGGGCATTATTATAGTCTCACTTTTAAACATGCTTTTCAACATTCCTGCCATTGGTAATTTCTCTGGGGCCATAAAATCCCTGAGAATAGTGTGATGTCAAAGCTAAACTTTCTTACATGTTGTTCATCTCTTCCAGCTGCAAATCTGCAAGGAGTTAGGACAGTGGAGGTCTGCCAGAAAGCATTTATGCATGTATATGCTATCACTGAAAAACGGGTTCGTCTACAACGTGAGAAACTTATATGTCAGCACGGCATCACTCCTCACACCCGATCAACATGTCCAGCGGACACAGTCAGCCGCACACAAGGTCAAGAGCCTGTTAATGAACCAATTGACTTGAGACGGAAACGAGATCCTCCATCAATGATTCCAATCTTAATGAAAGCCCCTGACAAAGACATTGCTCTCGTTCACAACTTCTTCCTAAACCAGCTGTGGAAACCAGAGTACATTGGTACAGCTACTTAATTAATCCAGTGACACTCTTTGTGACAAAATAACAAACGCCGATACATTCATGTTGCTCAGATGAATTTTATTCTGGGGGATGGTATACTATTATGTGCTACTGCGTACTATTACGTATTTTTAAAGACTTCCATTAGAGAAAAAGATTTAGAATGATAGATAATTAAAAACTATTTTGTGGTGATGCCTCAAATTTATATTACATTTTTTGCTATTTATTTATTTTCTCAATACTGTTTACAGTACTAATTTAATTTTGTACTAAGAAATCCCAAAGTCAATACCAAAGGCAGCAACAGAGTTGATAAGACGCAGCAATGTTTCTGGTTATTACTTAATCCTTTGATATTGTATGACCATGTCACTTAGCAGGCCTTTTTTCATTTTCATAAACAGAGTAACTTATTTTCTATAGTTATATGTACTGGTATTTATAGAAATAAATTATTAAGTGATTAGTTTTGTTACATATTTTCTTGTCTCTACCTTGTCATGTTCCATAAAAGGTATACGAGCTCACGAGTCACAAGAAATTAAATGGACGGAAAAATCTGTCACTCATCCTCAAAGTCCATTTGTATTACTGTGCATACGTCAATGGTCTGCTGCTGTCCTAGGGGCCCAATTTTGCTTGCTCCCAAACATACTGAATAGTGGTGGTGGTGCTAATTAACGGAAAAGGGGACCTACAGCTTAACATGGCCTATGTAGTACATTTACAAAGCATTAATAGATGGAAAGATGAGAATAGCCAGAATTACTGGTTTTTTGGAATTTGTCCATCACCTGGTATTCTAAATAACCAGACCACACATTTCAGAAACTTGATCTGTTTCCATCCTCAGGTGAGGGACACTTACTCTTTTGGGTCCCTCAGAAAAAGTTTCCAAAATGTGTTCTCTAGTTTTTTAGAATGCCGGACGATGGACGAATTCCAAAAACCCAGTAATTCTGAGTAATACACCATCATCAAAACCCTTCAGAACCAGTCTGGAACTGAATAATAAGTATTTCCTGACTTTCCTGTTCTCTGAACATCATCATGAACTTCATTTTTGTTTTTATTATGCTTCACTATTTGGTAAAAGTTTGACAAGGAAATGATGCAGTATATCAACAGTATAAAATGAACTGACCATTTTGCATTAATATTAAGCGTTAAACAATTTTCAGTAAATTAAATTTACCTACAGTAAACTCCCAGTTATCTGGTACACAAACACCCTGAATTCTAATGGAACCAGCAAAAATGTTTATAAAGTTATATTGAAAACAAACTTGTGATGCACATATGTTCACCCTTCTAGTAGTACTTCTCCCAGCCACCACTAACTGTGCTGCTATCCTCCCTCATGGAAGTGCCATTACAGTTGAAGTTAAAACAAATTTGTGATTACATGACAGTATATCTCAAATCTCACTCATCAATCCACTATTTAGCACAAGAATACCCCCACATAAAAAGTAACTTAATCTATGTTATTCTGACTTTCTATTTGGTTCATCTACAAGTCTTTCAAGCAACTGGTATATCCATGCAACCAGCATACCCATTTTCCCATAAATCCCAGAAAACTGGGAGCTAACTGTACAACTACCTCCATATATCCATGAGTATGGAAATGTGATCATATTCTTAGCTGGGAGCTAACTGTACGACTACCTCCATATATCCATGAGTATGAAAATGTGATCATATTCTTAGCTAACGTCTAAAGTGTTTCTTACTGAACACTGCATTTGAGTGGTTTGCACCATGTGTCATAGTCATTAGGTCCTCTTTTAAATCCTGACCCGGTGATCAATAAATGGCTGAATAAAATGAAAGTTGAACCTACCAGAACGGCCCAACATGTAATCAACTTAAGGGGACATTGTGAACTGTAGAAACAAATGGGCCTAAAAGATACCAAATATTACAGTAAAGTAAAAAGTAAAGCTATCCCTGTAACAGGCCATGAAGGCCCATAGAGTTGTGAGACGTTGAGGGTCCCACATTATCTAGACAATCGGCTCAAAGATGGCGGTAAGGTTGTCAGCCTTATGCACCGGCTGTGCTTTACTCCCCAGGAAAATTATTTGATTATTACAATGAAATATAATCCATAACAAAGTCCAGATTTGATAAATGATTGGTATGGGGTGTGCATCCTTTATGGATGAAAATTAATTGCACCTGAAGTCTACTGAAAGTTCCGAGATTGGAAAATTTATGCCCATAAAATCAGTTACACTTAAATACAGGATGTTTCATGATGCCCTGAAAGCATATGGGGAATGGTGATGAAACTTCAGGCATCTTAACTTGGCCACTAGGTAAAGGTTAGTGGTCAGATTCATACTGTGACCATTAACCCCTGTGAAGAAGGCTGTGCCATAGCTCAAGCAGTTAGTCCCTGGCTTCCCACTGCGGCAGTCTGGGTTTGATCCTGAGTCTGGTCAAGTGGGATCTGCGAGGGACAAAGTGGCACTGGGGCAGGTTTTCTCCGAGTACTTCAGTTTCCCCTGCCAATCTTCATTCCACCAATTGCTCCACAATCACCCTCACCTATCATCTGGGGCTGGTAAAATAGGCTAGAAGTGGCCGCAGTGCATGGGACTTAGTCCCACCCCACTAGCAATAAAAGAAACCTGTGGAGAAAGATCATGGCATGTACAGTATAGGAAACAGTCCTAAGTCAATGTGGGCACATGGGTGAAAAAAAAAAAACTGCTTGCTCTGGACAAGAATCTAATCATACTCAAGTCCTCAGACAATGTATTTCATGACAGATGTCAAGGTAAGTGCAATTAAACCAACTTAAGAGAATAATACAGTTAATAAGAAAAATGGTATGGTAAAGATTAAGTATGGGGGAGTGGAGATGGAGCTCCACCATTCATAACCTTGACACTAGACATAGATAGTCAGCTTCATGCCCCTGCCACTTTACCCCTGGAGAAACAGCCCCTGGTACCCATTCTATAGGAGGCTGTGTGGGGCTCAGAGCATGTATGGACACTATGGAGGAAACAAAATCTCTTCTCCCTGCCATAGAAAAATGTTAACTAAAAAGTCACTGAGCACAACTGTAGGCATATGCAGTATCAGATATCGTTAGTTAATGCCTGACAATGATTACAACAGGAATGTTGTGTAGTTGTTTATCTGAAATTTTGTTTCCCAAACCACTGAACAGGTTTCCATTAAATCTGATGATAATGAACGTCTAGACCAAGAGATAACTAACAAACATGTGAGTCAGCATTGTTGGTGTTCAAATAACAGAAGAAAGCTCACTCATAACAAAATCTGAGGAAAAAACAACATAATTTCTGTTCACAGATCAGTTCTGAACTTACAAAGTGCAGCTATATCAGTCAACAAGACTGTAAAGATGACTCATTCTGAATGGAAACACAAATGAGGATGAAACTTCTGTAGCTTACCTTTATGAAGTGTTGGTTGGGCTTGGATGATTTAGGATCTTTTTCTCATAGGCAATTGGGCTTTGAAGACAGACACGTCTGAACTGGCTTAGTGACAAATGCTGGGCCTCAGATTTCATGACACCTAAGAAATTCTTTGCCAGCTGAATAAATGATTCTTAAAATTCTCAACAAAACTCGTGGATTGTAAGACACAACTAGATGATATTTCAGCACTATAAGCAGACAGGCAACTTCTGCAAAGCCAAAACTGGTAAAAAGAAAGTGGAAGCAGCAGTGAAATACCTGTTTAAAAAACAGGACCCTGATTTCTATGGAGAGAGGATGTAAATACACATTCCATTATACTTGTAGGATGAAGTGTTATATTCTGACAGATGCCTTTAGGCCGGAATAGTGGAGCCATAGGAGATGTTCATTACTAGGCAACGGATAAGCAAGCAACAATAAAGGTACTGTTGGAAATGATGTTTTTTGTTCGGTCCATGCAAGTGATAATAAAAGAAGGGAGATAGTGTACTGGTCCTCAGCTGGCAGTCAAGCTATGAAGAGAAGACTTTACATGTGCTGTAGTACAGCGATATTTGGAGGGTGTAATTCAGTGACACTGTTACAGTTCCTGTGTTAAAATCCGTTGCCAGGAAACGGAGAGTGCAGACTGTAACAGATTGAGGACACTAGTGTAACAGTGAATTGTAAAATGTGGAAATAGCGACAGTTATATATGTTTGTAGTACGACCTGTAAGTGGTCAATAAATCCAATATTCCTAAACCCCGTCTATAGTCACCACGTGATATTCTGGTATCAGAAGTTGGATTGGATTAACTTACTGGACTGAAACCTGCATTGGATCGTTGCATCGCCAGTCTACAAACACAGAACAAACGTCAAACTCCTGAAAGCCATGCAAGAAATGACAGAGACCCAGATATGTTCTCTAGCCTTCCGAATGGATAGCAAGACAGACGCCGATCTGAGGGAAATGAAGGCTGAAATAAGAGCCCACAATGAGAAGTTTGATGTCCTTCAAAACAATCTCCCGGATGGTTATCCACCAAGTCAGGCCACTGACCGCTCACGCAGACATGAAAGTCAAGATGGACTCACCACGAGAAGGTGATGACGACAATGTAAGCCGGTAAAGAAAAACAGAGATGCGGAGGTCTGTCTGGATAGTAAGGAACCAACCTCAGAGAAAGTGAGGCCGCGGTGAAAACTGTCACAGGACTGAAGAAGCCGTACAGGGACCGGCATCTAGCCGTAAGACGCCGCGTCAGCCGCAGAAGCGGACCCAAGGAAATTGTCGGTCCCGGCAGAAGTTAGCCGCCGCCTGCACAGTGATGACCCGCCGTGTGGGAGTGGCACGGCGTTAAGGGAAGTGGTAATAAAGAAAGGACTGACGGTCGAACAGAGATGACAGAAAAAGCGCACCAAGGGCTATGTACAAGGAACCAGGAAAGGACGGACGCTCCGGAGGTGATAACGGACTCGCCACGAAGGCAGCACTGGAATTAAGGGACCGAGACGTAGAGGCACAGCCGCGTCTGAGGAAGGACAACCGGCAGCGGCATCAGCAAGGCTCAACAAATACACTCATCCATGACAAACGAAAAAGTGTGACCCGCAAGGAGAAAATTATTTTCCGTCCTCTCGTATGTGCCTATAAAATAACTAAGTAACATCATGTTACAGGATCTTTCTAGAAAAGCTGGTAGTATCATCAAGAAAATATCTACTTGTATGGAGTGTGAAGGTGTTGACAGAAACTTGTCATGGGTCTAACAAGAACAATCTCATTTAATCCATATTTTTACAGCCTATTTCTAAAATGTTCGTTTTAATATTACTCATATTTCATATACATCTAGGTCTACCAAGTGGTCTCGTCCCATGTGGTTAACTAACCAGAATGTAAAGGATTTTGTTTCAGCAGTCAATATCTGTCACAGATTTCCTGAAGAAATAT